GCTCTGGAAGCAAGTTTGCCCACTAGAGTTGTCTTTCATCAGGCCAAGAGAGTCAGACTCTTATACCCCCACCTACTCATTAGATATGAGCCACCCCTGGGAAAGCATGCCCTTGGGCAAGGTGACTCTGCAGCTGAGGCAGTCCCTGAATGGATTGCTAGCTGAGGCAACAAATCTTTCCTTTTTGTTTGTCCATGTTTACCAGAGTCATCAAATTTAAAATGTTCTGTCTACCACATGAGAAGATGGCATTCATATTTGAGAGCACAGAATGACTTTAATCAAAGAGAAATTTGGAATTACATTCACAATCAAATTAAAGAAAAAGCCTATACTGTTAGAGATTTATGGTAGAATATAACAAAACATTTTATTAATATGGTGAAGACTTGCCCTATTGATGTGGCTCAGTGATTGAGCATCGACCAATGCACGAAGAGGTTGCTGGTTCAATTCCCGGTCAGGGCACATACCCAGATTGTGAGCCTGATCCCCAGTGGGGGGCATGCAGGAGGCGGCCAATCAATGTTCTCTCTCATCGATGTTTCTATCTCTCTCTCCCTCTCCCTTCCTCTCTCTCTAAAATTAAAAGAAAAAAATATTTTTAAATATAGTGAAGACTTAAAGAAGACACTGGTTTGTTGGTATGTGATGTCATTTTCTCATGAAATACTGTCCTTCAGCAAGTAGTTGCTGGCTACTTGTCTGTGCACTGAAACAGACATTATTAAGCAAAGCACTTCTCTGGGGATGTAATGATACAGTTATGCGCAGAACCTCTCTTCCCAGATCTACCCTTCTCCACTGTTCTAGCTTCTGAAGGTAATGAGCATGTCTGTCCACTATGATGTGGCTGCATCCAAGGTCAATGAAAAGGTAGCATTAGCAGGCTATGGCTTCCCTCTATTTCTTTCTTTTTTTTCCCCTTTATTAATTTGAGAGAGAGAGAGAGAGAAACATCAATGAGAGAGAACATCGATTGGCCACCTACTGCATGCCCTCCATTGGGGATTGGGCCCACAACCTGGACATGTGCCCTGACCGGGAATTGAATCAGCAACTTCTTGGTGCATGGGTCAATGCTCAGCTACTGAGCCACACCAGCCAGGTTGTCTTTCCTTTTTGATCTAATCCTTCTTAACCCCTTGACCCTTCACCCCATGCATTTGGTGTTCCATGTTGGCAGCTCTCTTTCTCAAGTGTATATATTTTTTTAAAGATTGTTATTCTTGCCCTGGCCAGTTTGGCTCAGCAGTTAGAGTGTCGGCCTGTGGTCCAGAGAGACCCGGGTTCGGTTCCCGCTAAGGGCATGTACCTCGGTTGCAGTTTGTCCCCAGCCCTGGTTGGGTCGTGCGGGTGGCAACCACTCGATGTGTCCCTTTCACGTTGATGTTTCTCTTTCCCTACCACTCTATCTGAACAAAAAATGAAAAAATGTCCTCGTGTGAGGATAAAAAAAAAAAGATTGTTATACTTTTTTTTTTTTGGTACGTGCCCCTAGTGGGACTCTCTGGTCCATAGGCTGACACTCCAGCCGCTGAGCCAAACTGGCCAGGGCAAAGATTGTTATTCTTTTTAAAGAACTTATTTTATTTTATTTTAATTGATTTTAGAGAGGGAGGGAGAGGGAGAGGGAGAGGGAGAGGGAGAGGGAGAGGGAGAGGGAGAGGGAGAGAGGGAGGGAGAGAGAGAGAGAGAGAGAGAGAGAGAGAGAGAGAGAGAAAATATGAGAGAGATTCATTGATTAGCTGCATCCCAACCTACATATGTGTCCTGACTGGGAATTGAACCAGTGACCTTTCAGTGCAGGGACTACATTCTAATTAACTGAATTATACCAGCCAGGGCCAAGTGTATATGTTTTAATGAGTCCTGAAGAAGTGACTAAAAACAGAACTGTACCTAAATTTCTCTGAAGTTACAAGGAAGAAATCCAGTTCCCTAGTCATAAAGTATGTGTGGTCTGCTCTACCTAATACAGAATGATGTGTTGGGTGGATTAGCAAACATTTGAGCTTACCAGAGAAAATCGACTATTATTTCCTCAGGACCTAGAAGGGTTGATTTTTTCTTTATTCTAAGTTTCTGGAAAAAGTTCAGGGGCTTGTACAAATGAGATTTAAGAGACTGGTCTGGGAAACTGAGATATAAATTTAGTTCATAAATCCCATTATCTTCCAGTGCAGTGTTAACTCATTATTATTAGATGCTTATAAATAATGAGGACAAACTCAATTTATAAGAGGCTGGCCTTCCAACATTATGGATTATCATACAGATTTTTAGGATGTAAACTATTACATCCTAAAGATTATAACATATTTTAGTCTGCCTTTATTCATGCGTAACAAATGGGAAGCCAGATGAACATTCCCTAAACATTCCAGCAGTAGTGTTTTTAACCAATCAATGTTTTCATTTGTTTCTCTCTCAATCCCTTAAGGGTAGACATTAAAATAAGGCTAAATATGTTTAATTTTTAAAAGATATAATACAAATTCCATAGTAAGTTAAAATCCAATAATGTCTAAATTCTCTCAGTTCCCAGGGCTATTTTTAGGTCTTTAGGGAAAATATAAAATTTTTTCCTCTTTCTCAGCCTTGATATGCCCCACTTAAACATGACTCTGTCTCACTGCACCCTTTTACAGCCCATTCACTATATTCAGTACTATAGATTCTGAAAAGAGTAAGGCTCCTTTCCCTGTTAGGAGGATGGAAAGCACCCATGGCTGTGGAGCTGGAAGCTTAGGTTCTAGTTCCAAATCTAAGACTAAGTGTGATACTTTTGGAAAGTTCCTGAATTTCTGCAGGTCTCTATTTGCTCATCTATTTATGGAGAAAAGGGAATAGATGTTTTATAATGGCCCTCCCAAACCCACTGTTCTATGATTCTCTAATGTTCCAAGCATATTCTGTTCATTTCTACAGGGGAAGTTTTGACAATAGACCATGTAATGGGATTTGAAAAGAATATTTTCTATGGCTTCCACGGAATTTGGAAAATATGAGTCATATAACTACCCCCTCCAGCCCCAAATTGGTAGTAAGGAAATAAATACTGGAATCTGGGGCATGTGACTCTCAAAGCAAATTGAGTTTTCAAAGCCAGAAAGAGATATTTTTTGGCTAGAAGTATTATTTCCACTTTTTGATTACTGACATGAAAGAATAACTATAAATGTGACCAGCAGTTAATACTTTCATTATCTGTTAAGAATTATAACTATTTAAATTTAGGTATTAAATTAAATCTTTTTTTATGACAAAATTTGTCTTCATGTAATAAATTACCATTTCACATTTGCTTTCAGAATGAGACAAACTCCAATTTAGTAGACTGCTTGGCTCTATCACAATGAAGGTTAAGATTAAGATCAAGGCTTAATAGCATTATTTTTTTTCCTGTTCCAAAGCTACAAATACAAATTTAACCCTGCTGGCTTTAAAAAAAAATGTGTGAAAGCTATGCCAAAGAGTTTATAAAACCATCATCTCTACAGGAAAAGTAATTCACAAGTTGCTGTACTAACAGTGGGGGGCACTGTCATCTCTGGTGAACCAAGACAGCGTGGTGTCAGGGTTGCCCTGGAAACTGAGTTGCCAGTCTGGGTTAGTGTTGAGATGTCTAAAGCAGACATAGCACTATGCTACCATTGTGTGCATTTTCACAATGCTCAGAAGTATCATTGGACCCATAACACTGGATGGTCAATGACACAAAAACCTTGTTTGTGAACAATGTATCCTCCTTCTGATTTTTCAGACTTAATTTATGAATACTTATTTTCTTCTGAGTAAATATATTAAATGGGAGATGACTTCTCTATTTTATTTCATAGTGCCTAAGGAAATCAGAATGCATCACATTTTGTGCTCATTCAATAAACTAAATTCTGAGACTAAAAGCCAAATTTCATAAAGCCCCACCACCCTAGTACACTGATATCAAAAAATGCCCCCACCGCCATCATGCATTCTAGAACCCTATCTCTCTCTTTTTCCTGGAGTCCTCACCCCCACACAAACCATAGAGATGCACCAAAGTAAGATATAGAATAACAAAAAACAATGCTTACACAGTCAACATTTTGATGATACTCTCTATTTATTTCACAATATGGGAATAACTCAAATTTTGAGTCTCAAAGACCCAAATACATTTAAGCCAAATGTTTAGAAGATGAGCCAGGCCACCATTTTGACATTAAGCTTCACATGGCCAAGTGGATGTTGGAGAACAATGCCTGCAGCATGGCTAAAGCTATAGCACACTGACAAATAGATTCATAATTAGTTGTCTAATTTGCATGCATGAGTATAGTGCATTCTCCATGCCACTGGTACTTATATACCTTTTTCAAAATCAGTGCAGGATCCACACTTATGCAGGTCTTTAAAGGTCTGTTCCCTTACAAAATTTTACTATAATTCATCGGAGAGATCCTTTAGGTGACAAATTCTTATGCCACCTTTACTTCCCAAAAGTTATTTCTGAATAATAATTACAGCTATCAGGAGTTTCAACATCATATAAGATAATCTGTTTGTTAATTATTTGAATGTCAGTTAGCTGGCTGTGACTGAACTTGACTAAACATATTCACATGCTTGGTGCCTGGAATTTCAAATTGGGAACCTTTAGCAGCAATGGCAACTTTAGATCAAATGACAAGATAAACAGAAACTAGACAATGTCCCAGAAAGAACTAAGCTTTCCTTCTTTCCAAAGCAAATGCTTCCTTAATCTGCACCAAACAGTGACAGCCTGACCCACTGTTGTCTGGGAGCCCACTGTTCCCACTAATGTTGAATTGTTGGAAATCCAAACAACATTCAACGCCAAAGGGGAAAATGCCTGAATCTAAAAAGGAAGCAAAAGAAATTGTACCAGGGAAAGGAGACAGGAATGGACAACAAGTTCCCAGAGAATCTCTGTCAACAAGCATGTAGAGTCTTTATTACTAGAATATACAGAATCCTTTGGGAATTACTGCATCTTTTTTTTTTTTTTTTGCCTTTACTTTTTTTCTTGCCAGTCCTTCCCTGGCTGATTGAACTGTCTTGTTAATGGGAGGAGATTGTCCCATCCAGAAGCCATTCAACAGCAGGTCTCAAGAGCCACATTCTTCGCAGTGACAGGAAAGGATGTACCTGTAGGTGGCTGTGAGTCGCATGCCCCCTGAGCAGCGCAGCCGCAATGCTTTCAGCTTGGAGGTCTGGGGTCGACAGCAGTGACAGGAAGAGCGGAAGGGCTGCTTGAGGACAGTGCTGAAAGACACCAAGGGCTCGGAGCGAGATGCCTGGCTGCAGTGTCCCTCACACCTGGCCAGAAGCACCATCTGGGGAGAGAAGAGAGGAGATTACCCTGTGGAGATACCAAAACCCCAGCCAGGTCGCACAGCCTCCTTTACAAGGACTTTACACTCTGCCAATTCTTACTGGATTAGATCAGTGACTCTCAACTCTGGTTGCACGTTACAATCATGTGGTAAAATTTGTTTTTATTATTTTTTCTTTATTGACTTTAGAGAGAGAAGAAGGGAGAGGGAGAGAGAGAGAAACATTGATGAAAGAAAACATTAATTGGGCCCCTCTGCACGCCCCCCGGCCCACTAGGGACTGGGCCCACAACCACGCCATGGGCCCTGGCCAGGAATCAAACTGGCGCTTGGGTCGATGCTCAACCACTGAGCCACACTGGCCAGGCTACAGTTTGTTTTTAAAATGTCCACACCCAGGCCCTTTCTCAGACCAATTGATTTAAAATCCTTGAAGACAGAGTCAAACATTTGTGGTTTTCTTTTTTTAAAAAAAATCTTTATTGTTGAATGTATTACAGATGTTCCTCATTTTTCCCCCATTGACCCTCTCCTCCCCACTCCTGCCCCCCTCCTGCCTTTTCCCACACTATTGTCTGTGTCCAATGGTTATGCATGTAAGTTCTTTGGTTTATTTCTTCCCACCGCCCAACCCCTTTCCCTTTGAGGTTTGTCAGTCTAGCAATGAATTTGTACTTCTTAATCCTTATCCTTTTTCACCCATTCCCCCAACCCCCCTCCCATCTGGCAACCAACAAAATGTTCTCTGTATCTATGAGATGTTTCTGTTCTGCCTGTTCATTTTGCTTGTAGATTCCATTGTCGATAGATATGTATTCATTGCCATTTTGTTTGTTCATATATTTTATCTTTTTCTTCAAAAAGACCCTTGATCATTTCATATAATAATGATTTGGTGGTGATGAACTCCTTTAACTTTTTCTTGTCTGGGAAACTCTTTATATGGCTATGGATTCTAAATGACAGTTTTGCAGGATAGAGTAATCTTGGTTGTAGGTTCTTGCTTTTCATCACTCTGAATATTTCTTGCCACTCTCTTCTGGCCTGCAAAGTTTCTTTTGAGAAATCAGCTGACAGTCTTATGGGAATTCCCTTGTTGGTAACAAACTGCCTTTCTCTTGCTGCTTTTAAGATTCTCTCTTTGTCTTGAACCTTTTGCATTTTGATGATGATATGTCTTGGTGTGGGCCTCTTGGTGTTCATCTTGTTTGGGAATCTCTGTGCTTCCTGGACTTGTATGTCTGTCTCCTTCACCAAGTTTGAAAAGTTTTCTGTCATTATTGTTTCAAACAAGTTTTCTATTTCTTATTCTCTCTCTTCTCCTTCTGGCACCCCCGAGATGCGAATGTTGGCACGCTTGAAGTTGTCCCAGAGGATTCTTACACTATCCTCATTTTTTTGGATTCTTTTTTCTTTTTGCTGTTCTGATTGGGCGTTTTTTGCCCAATCAGATTATATTCCAAATCAATGGTTTGCTTCTTGGCTTTACGTACTATAATATTGAATCTGTGTAAATTATTCTTTATTTCAGTTAATGCCTCCTTCATTTCTGACCGTACATCCATCATTTCTGACTGGTCCTTTTTTATGCCTTTGAGGCCCTCACTAAGTTTACTGAGGTTATCACTAAGTTCAGTGAGCATCCTTATAAGCAGTATTTTGAACTCAGCATATGTTAGGTTGCTTATCTCCATTTCACTTAGTTGTTTTCTTGGGGTTTTGTTTTGTTCTTTCATTTGGGACCTGTTTCTTTGTCTCCTCATTTTGGCTGCTTCCCTGTGTTTGTTTCAGTGTATTATGTAATGAGAGGTATGGGGCTATCTGAGACCAGATGCTGCTTGTTTGAAAGAAAACCTGAAGCAGAATCCAAGACAAGCCAATCCTATGGTTAAGCAACTGGCAACAGCTTGGGTGGGCCTGAAAGTTGGGTGGGGCAGGGCCTCAGGAAATCACCAGGGCGGGGCTATCAGTGTAAGGCAGGTTGCTGGAGTCCCAGATATGGTGACTGTCTGCCGCCCCAGGGAAGGGCTCACCAAAGGAACAAAGGCCTCTGACAGCACATTTGTCCTGGAGAAAGTCCCCTCTCCAGCCCTCGCTCCAATGCCAAACAGCTCAGTTCTTCCCTGTATGTCTCTGGTGCCCCTCGAGCTGCCTCCCCTCCAAGCATAGAGGGAGTGAGTCTGATAAGTCTGTGCACAGGCCCTTTAAGGAGCTGCCTGGGGCTCCAGCTGCGTCAGCTTCCCTGAGCCTCAGTTCCTGCTGGTTTTTCCAATCAGAAGTTATGGGGACTTGTCGTCCTGGCACTGGAACCCTGAGCAGGGAATCTGTTGTGGGACAGGGACCCCTCAGTCCTCAGGGAGGACCTTCCCAGCTGAGGTGTCCTCCTGATTTTTATCCGCCACTCATGGGTGTGGGGACAGCCTGTAGCTCCTCTCCCCCTCCTACTAGTCTTGATGTAGCTGCTGCTTTAATTTTATAGTTGTAGGACTTCCATTCAGCTTGATTTCGGGAGGTTTTGAATGATGGTTGTTCTGTAGTGTAGTTGTAACTTTGATGTGGTTGTGGAAGGACCGGATACCACATTTACTTACACCGCCATATTGACCAGAGTCACTTTTGTGGTTTTCAAAGCTTCTTAGGTGATTCTAAAGTGAACTGAGCTTAGAAAAACTGAATAAGGCCCACCACCATGATGTGCAAATAAAAATCAAAGAACAAAATAAATTTCCTCAGATAGATATCAGTCTACCATTGGCCCAATGCTAATTATGCCAGTGTCAAAATGCAGAAAATAATTCCAAATTAAAGTCAGGGAGTAAAGAATAACATATATATATATATATATATATATATACACACACACACACACACACACACACACACACACACACACATATTTGTTATGTGAAGGGAATTGGTAAACAAAAGGAATATAGTTTCAGAAGAATAAAAAAAAGGGTAATCTGAGTGATACTGTGATACTTAAGAAAAAATATTCTAGGTAACACAACTTGAAACTAGAGCATGAAATAGAAACAAGGTATGTTTTGGGACCTGGAATGACACTTCTGGGCTTAAACATTGAGTGAGCCTAAGATTTGTACAATCACATCTTCAGAGTCATTTAGGACAAAAATTAACTCATTCTAACCATCTCCATTTCCAAAGGTAGGTTAGCATGATAATAAAGCTTGGGCTGAGGTAACAGAGGATGTGTGTTTATTATAATAGCTTTCAAGGTGGTTTTAGTAAACAGAGTCCTTTAAGAATCTGACACAAACTACCAAAGTTATCCCCAAAATAATGGACATAAGCACACACTCAATATTTTGCATACAGATTAAGGGAAATAACTGAGGTTCATTTATGTATCCCACACATAAAACCTGGTGTCCTGAAAGTGGCAATCATAGGTGGGGTAGGGTGAGAAGCTTGATTCATTAAGTTATATAATCCTATATACTGGGGTACAGGGGGTGAGGGGAACCTGAGTTTATTGGTCCATGTTTATGTGGGAAGGTCTTGCTTGATGAATTTCATATTAAGTGATAGCAAATGTTGCCCTATATTTCCAGAACTAACAATAAAAACATAAAAAGTGGAACTTTTAGATAAAAAGATTAAGAGATACATATATACATGAAACCATTGGACATTTACTCCATGGTATTTTAGGAGTTAGCAGCTGTTATTAAAAACACACCAGTTATTATCTTTGACATTATCCCCCTTGATAGGACAGAATTAAATACACAAAGATTAAAAGAAGGAAATGGCCTGCCCATCTTTCCAAACGGAAGAGAAGCTGACTTCTGTTAATTATAGATCATTACCTGAGAAGATGCTGGGCTGAATCCAACAATCTCTTAGCAACCAAGAGAATATGAGATACCAGGAAAAAACCAGCAGTGCTTGGTGAAGATAAATTGAATTAGACCTACTGATTTATTTTCTCTGAAAGATCACAGGCAGAGAGAAAATGTCAGCTGTTAGGGTTTTATTAAAACTTTGACTCTATTCTACCTGCTCCTCACATTGATAAGTGAAAAAACATGATCTAAAATAGGTTTTGAGAAATTATGCCATAGGTCAGTAGTACCTGGGCCAGGCCAGTCCATGGTGACCACCCTATCCTTCTAATAACAGAGAGTCCAAGGTCTTCCCAAGTCCCTTCTCCACACACCTACCAGAACATAAGAAGAGCTCCCTAAAATCTCATTTCGAAGTAGTGTTCAATTTTTTCATCTCTAATGCAAATCATTTATTAGGTAGATTAAGCAGTTATTCAAAAAATCACCTCCCGAAATGGAGTCTTTATAAATCCAGTTTCAGTCTGGATGGATACAGTGACCTGTGCCAACAGACTTAATTCAGAAGCAAAGGCATGGTGGCATATCATCCCCAAATGATACACATACAGGTGAACCAAATACACCTTGAATGACCAGACAATTAGCTTTGATCTGTAAAATTACAAATTCAGCAATGTATGGCCATTTGTAGAAAAACTAACCTGATAACGATTTCACTAAAAGTTTTCAGCATCTTAAGCTCTACCTTCAGCTCATTCTGAAGGACAAGCATTCAAGACTCAAGAACCTGGGGCCACTTCCAATGGGCCCCTCTTCCTCAGAACCTGGACTTTCTGGGCAAGGAGAAGGCATAGATATACAATAAACACCTTCAGTGGCTGCCCCCAGCTTTCAGAATAAAATTTAAACTCCGGAACAGGCAAAATCCTAAGGCCCTCTATAACATGGATTTCACATATCTTTCCAGTCTTTCTTACAATTGTTTTTATTCACATCATCTACTCCCTGTTCTGATCAAACTCCTAATTGCTTAGGAGTTCAGGGAACTATATTGACTTTCCTTGCCTCTTGCCTTTGCTCATGTCTTTCCTCTTTCAGAAATGCCCTTTCCTCCTAGCTCTGCTTAATGAAATCCCAACTACCCTCATTGCCAAATTCAAATATTTTTCCTTGAAGAAAAGACTATAA